CAGAATACAAACAGTGTAGCTACTCACTCCGCAAGGCAATCAAACTGGCAAAACTTCAGTATAGAGACAAAGTAGAGTCACAATTCAAAGGCTCAGACACGAGACGTATGTGGCAGGGTCTACAGACAATCACGGACTACAAAAAGAAAACCAACCACGTCGCTGACACTGACGTCTCGCTTCCAGACAAGCTAAACACCTTCTTCGCCCGCTTTGAGGACAACACAGTGCCACTGACGAGGCCCACTACCAAGGACTGTGGCCTCTCCTTCTCCATGGCCGACATGATTAAGACATTTAAGCATGTTAACTCCCGCAAGGCTGCCGGCCCAGACAGCATCCCTAGCCGCGTCCTCAGAGCATGCGCAGACCAGCTGGCTGGAGTCTTTACGGACATATTCAATCTCTCCCTTTCCCAGTCTGTTGTTCCCACGTGCTTCAAGATGGCCACCAATGTTCCTGTACCCAAGAAAGCAAAGGTAACTGAACCAAATGACTATCGCCCTGTAGCACTCACCTCTGTCATCATGAAGTGTTTTGAGAGACTAGTCAAGGATCATATCACCTCTACCTTACCTGTCACCCTAGACCCACTTCAATTTGCATACCGCCCCAATAGATTCACAGAAGATGCAATTGCCATCACACTGCACACTGCCCTATCCCATCTGGACAAGAGGAATACCTACGTAAGAATGCTGTTCATTGACTATAGCTCAGCCTTCAACACCATAGTACCCTCCAAGCTCATCATTAAGCTCGAGGCCCTGGGTCTGAACCTCGCCCTGTGCACCCGGGTCCTGGACTTCCTGACGGGCCGCCCCCAGGGTCTGAACCTCGCCCTGTGCACCTGGGTCCTGGACTTCCTGACGGGCCGCCCCCAGGGTCTGAACCTCGCCCTGTGCACCCGGGTCCTGGACTTCCTGACGGGCCGCCCCCAGGGTCTGAACCTCGCCCTGTGCACCTGGGTCCTGGACTTCCTGACGGGCCGCCCCCAGGGTCTGAACCCCGCCCTGTGCACCCGGGTCCTGGACTTCCTTTCCCCTGATGTGGTTTAAACCATTGTTGTGAACACAGAAAATCCAGTGTGAACAAACTGGGGTTAACCAAAAGAAATGTGGGAAATCCAAAATCTGGAGAAAAAAAAACCAAGAAAACGTTTTAAAAGGCCCTAGCAACGTTTTAAAAGGCATTAGCAACGTTTTAAAAGGCCCTAGCAATGTTTTAAAAGGCATTAGCAACGTTTTAAAAGGCCCTAGCAACGTGTTCTGCTGTGCATGACTGCACTTAAGAGTACGTCATCCTGCAGCACAGCATTCTGGGGGAAGTTGAGGTCAGGTCCAATGTTGGTAATGCACCAAGAGGGAAAGAGGTTGGGCCATCCTAGAAATGTTTAGAGTAATATAATATAATAATATGCCATTTAGCAGACGCTTTTATCCAAAGCGACTTACAGTCATGTGTGAATACATTTTTATGTATGGGTGGTTCCGGGAATCAAACCCAATATCCTGGCATTGCAATGCTCTACCAAGATGCATGACAGGGTTATGAATGCTTTGTGAAGCCTCAATTTAGTATGATTTATAAGGCCTTTATTAAGCGTTGCTTATGCCACCCTTTATAAAGCACAGGCTTATGTCATATTTCACATAGTGGGTTATGTCACATTTGACATTGGTAGTTATGTCACACAGTTTATGCCATATTTATGAACCCTTTATAGAGCATGACATATGGTTATAGATTATTTATAACACATTTATTAGTGTTTATGAAGCCTTTATGAAGCCTTTATAAGCTGCACCTCATTTAAAGTGGGACCAATATATTTATACGTATTGTATTCTTTAGATATTTATATAACTTGAGGATTTAATAAATTAATTTATTTTGGATATATTTTTCTTGCTTTAGGACGTAATACATGAATTCCAGCTGAGTCATCACTGGATCCCAAATGGCACCCTATTCCCCATAGGGCTCTGGTCAAAAGTAGTGCACTATATAGGCAATAGGGTGCCATAGGGCTCTGGTCAAAAGTAGTGTACTATATAGGGAATAGGGTGGCCATAGGGCCCTTGTCTAAAGTAGTGCACTATATAGGGATAGGGTGTCATAGGGGCTCTGGTCTAAAGTAGTGCACTATATAGGGAATAGGGTGCCATAGGGCTCTGGTCTAAAAGTAGTGCACTATATAGGGAATAGGGTGCCATAGGGCCCTGGTCTAAGTAGTGCACTATATAGAATAGGGTGTCATAGGGCCTCTGGTCCTAAAGTAGTGCACTATATAGGGAATAGGGTGCCATAGGGCCTGGTCTAAAGTGTGCACTAAATAAGGATAGGGTGCCCAGACCGCCCAGTAAGTGCACTAATAGGGT